ATATTCAATTATTAATTTAATAAGAATTATAGATATTGAGGTATTTTGTGAACGAAGTCTGTGTGGACCCCTCCCTCCACCTGCTCCCAGCATCCTCCCATCCTCCATCTCTCTCCGACCCCTGAGACTGTCTGGTTACCGTGGCAACCGCATCCTCGAGGCAGGGAGGAGGAGGAGGAGGAGGAGGAGGAGGAGGAGGAGGAGGAGGAGGAGGAGGGAATGGCATCAGCGTGGATCAACAGAATCCCTGTTTCTCTGTCAGGTTTTTAATCTACAACCATCTGAAGACGACGTGATGTGATCTGATAGAGACTCTGCAGCCAATCAAAACCTTTGTTTTTGTTCACTTCACAAAACATTTCTGTGAACAAACAGCAGGACTCAGAGTGGGCGTGTCTATAAAAGGACTTTTATCACCTTCAGTGGATTGAATCTTACGAGCTTCTGGAAATGAACTACGACACTTTGCCACGTGAAAGTCTAACTACAGGTCCCATGATCCTCTGCTTTCACTGTGTCGAGCATCGCTCCAATAATCATTGAATTTTCTCTACAACTGTTGTTGTTGTCATTGTTATTATTGTTATTGTTCAATTCAATTCGATTCAATTTTATTTGTATAGCACCCAATCGTCATTTACATGATCTCAAGGCTCTTCACAGAGAAGGTCAGGACCTTGAAATGAAAATGTAGAGAAACAACAGGTGAACAATGAGCAGCTCTTTGAGACTGTGGAGGAGAAACTCGTCATTAACAGAGAGAAACCTGGAGAACCAGAGTGAGAGAGGAGACACCTGCCTCCACCGGGGGGTTGTTGTTGTTGTTGAGGTTGTTGTTGTTGTTGTTATCGTTATTGTTGTTGTTGTTGGCAGACACTTGACAGAACGACTGTCAGTGTTATGACTCTGAGTGAAGAATGATCTGGAACAGTACTGGAGATGATGCGTTCATGTGAATGGGACGAACAACACCTGGGCTCCAGCGTCGACACAGAGGACATCAACAACAACAACAACAACAACAACAACTTTTTCTGTCTCGTTGAAATATCTGATTCAAATCTTAAGTTAAAGTACAAACACTGCACATGATGGAGGTCAAAGGTCGGGGGGAGGGTACAGGTTGTTTCTGGACGTGTAAGTCAGCCAATGAGACGACAGATCAGAGCGTCTGCACCTGACCAACAGAACTCAGCACAGAGCAGGACTCAGACGTGTGAACGCAGCACAGTCTAATTCTAAATCAAAGTGATAACGCTGAGAAACACCAGCTGCACCTGAACGTCACAGTGGCCCTCAGAAGTAACGTTCAGGTAAACTCAGAGAAACTGAGCTTCAGCAGTAACTCACCTACAGCCTGAGGAGAATGAAGAGGATGAGTTCACTTTACAAACCTGATCCTGGACCTGACCCTGATCCTGATCCTGATCCTGATCCTGACCCTGACCCTGATCCTGGACCTGGACCTGGACCTGGACCAGATCTACATCAGAACCAAACTGAGCCTTCTTCAGGTGAAGATCAGACCTCTCTCTTCCTGTTGCTGTGTTCAAAGACTCTCACAAACCTTTTGAACTTCTTCACTGAGAAACAGGAAGATTCTTAAATATCTGAGTTTCATAAAACAAACGATGAACTGGAGACAGAAGAACCAGTTTCTGAATGAACCACGTCTCAAACCTTTAAATAAAAGATGATAATTTAACTCTGAACCTGATGTTGTTCAATTCTTTAAACTGAAACTTTACCAAATATAATCTCCAGTTTATTCTTTAAACCCTCATCCAGGACCTGAACCCTCAGACTCAGAGCTGATCCTCCGCAGGATCCAGACCCCAGGACCTGAGAGTCCTGCAGACCTGCCACAACACTCACCCATTATCTCCCCCTTTATCTAAAACCCAGTTTCTTCAGTCAGATGTCTCTCACAGAACCCTGACAGCACACAGAGGAAACAACCTTGTGTCTCCTTCACAGACACAAATAACCAGATGAATGAGCGGATTAATAAATCCACTTTCTCATTTGACCTCTGATGCTTTCATTCACCACATCATGATTCATCAGCTCCTTCACCAAACCTCCGTCCTCCATCTTCCTCTCTCCTCCCTCATCCTCCTCCACCCTCTGTCCGCATGAAGGAGAAAAACCTCCGCATGATGATATGACATGAAAACGAGATGGAACCTGATCTGAAATCTGAGGATTTTTATTTTCTTCTCAAAGATAAAATGTGAGCTGCAGCTCGTGCAGCCTCCTCCCGTCTCATCTGATGAATCAGGCTCTTTGTGTTCTCAGCATCCGCAGCCTCCACAAACCGAACCGAGCAGAACCGAGCCGAGCAGAACAGAACCAGGCCGAACCAGGCCGAGGCAGAACGGCACTGATGGTTACCAATGATTTATCCCGAGTTCAAACCGAGATACATGAGATTTAAATGAAGAAAGAGAAGGAGCGGTCGATGCTTACCTCATGACTCCGAACAGAGCTGAAGATCAGTGAGAGAGGGGGGAGAGAGGGGGGAGGAGACACAGAGAGAGAGACAGAGGGGGAGAGAGAGAGGG